TATACATAATATAATAGTAGTCCCCCGTACCTCTGTTTATCTAACCAATTTTCCCTATTGCTGGAAATTTGGGTTCTTTTCATTTATCGATTTTATAAATAACACTGTGATGAATATCCTTGTAACTAAATATCTGTGTGCATCCAAGATGATTTCCTTAGGATTATTCATTGGGTCCACATTTGGTCTAAGGAAGCCATATAAAAAGCCAAGGCCTGAGGGACTCAGCCCCAGTATTTCCTAAGAATGTGACTTTATGAAATCTATTTAACCTGAGCCTCAGTTTCCTTATCTGGGAAACGGGGCTGTTCATTCCTTCTTCATGGGGTCATTTTGAGGAGCAAATAAGGTAACATGTAAAATTGCTTTGGTGGTCTAAAGCAAGTTCTACAGGTGCAAGCATCTCTTCTCCCCACTTCCCTGCATTATTTGGATGCTCAGACTAAGTTCATGAATTGTTTTGATGAAAAGAGAAATTAAATATCTATTTTTTAAGATTTTATTTATTTATTCATGACACACACACACAGAGAGAGAGAGAGAGAGAGAGAGGCAGAGACACAGGCAGAGGGAGAAGCAGGCTCCACACAGTGAGCCAGATGTGGGACTCAATCCCGGGTCTCCAGGATCACGCCCTGGGCCGAAGGCAGGCACTAAACCCCTGAGCCCCCCAGGGATCTCCTAAATGTCTGTTTAAAAGTCTGCATTGTGTATTTGCATTCTCTACTAAAAAAATAATCTGAAAAATCAGGCAACTTCTCAATTTCCACCAAATTTTCCTGTTTTATTCTCTTTAAAGCCCTTATCACCACCTTAGGTTTTTTTTTTTTAATTATTTACCTGATTTTTAATCTTCACTCTAGAGTTTTAACAGGTCTTTTGAGAGCAGGCACCTCTTTAGTCATATTCTCTGCCATATCCCCAGGCCTAGCCACACACTTGGCACATGTTCCATAAATACTTGGTGATATATGTGCAGAGAGAGAGGGATTAAGAGAGGGATGGATGGATGGATGGATGGATGGATGGATGGATGGATGGAGAGAGGGAGGAACTCCACAGATCAAGTTCTTAATCACCTCCTTGACCTTAGTATTTCCTTTTCTCTTGCTCTCTCATTGTCTCTCTTATCCTATCTTCTTCTCCCACCCTTTCCATGCCCTGCAAGTTGATTGAGCAGAAGAGTTCAGACCAGAGACCTGTATTGCTGCCCTTGCCCTCACTGCTCTTCGGCTCCACTTTCTGAGATCACGGACCACTCTGCCCTGACCTTCTGGCTCCATGTGTCCACTCAGGGCTGCCAGGGGCCCCTGCTGGTCCAGCCCCTGCCCTATGGAACAAAGCTCCCAAGTGTCAGGCCAGCGCCTCTCCCATTAAGAAGCCCACTCACCCTTTACCATGGGGACCTCTACATTCCGAGATGGGTGGGAGGGAGAGCGGAAGGATAGTGAAATTGAGGATGCTTTGGGGACCTCAGCAATGGCTGGGCTGCTACTGGAGAAGGCATTCTCTTTCCTCCTTCCAGGCTCCAAGCACTGTTCTGGGCATATTGGCTTTGGCATCTGCAGGAAGCTGGCAGCAAGCAAGGAGCTCAAAAGGCTGCTGGGGGATAGGGCCAACAGGTAGCTACTTTCCAAGGAAGCCCAGCTCCTGCTTGCCAGCCCAGAGTCACCTGAGGGAGGGGCTTCTCTTGCTCTTGAAAGGCAGCAGACTATACCACCCCCCAAAATGCAGTCTGTTTTAGGCTGTGTCAAAAAGAAAACCACAGGCCCCAAATGGCATCACTTCCCTTAAGGCCTTATTTCAGCAAACTAAGACTTAAACACCTAATTGCGGTTTCAATTTTACAGGAATGTGACCTTTAACCAGTCAACCTGGAATTTCCTGATCAGCACTGGGAAATTTACTGGTCCTTAGGAGGCCAAACTTACCTAAAACAATGCATTCTTTGCTACTATTTTACTATCCCTCCCTGCCCTGCCTCTCTACCTTTACAAACCTTTCCTTTTCTACAGCTCAGGGGAGCTCCTTTCTATTTGCTGGATGGGACTGCCTGATTCAGGAATCATTTAATAAAGCCAATTAGATCTTCGAAGTTACTCAGTTGCATTTTTGTTATTTAACAGTTGATTATTTTTCAGAAATAGCAGACATAGGAAAAACTCTGAAAACCGAGTAAAGTAGAGGTTACTCTTCATAGGAGACATGGACACAAAGGAAATCTCCATTTGTAAGAGTATCTCCCTCTCAGTAACAGGAGGAGAAAGGGACTCGAAATTTCTAGAAACCCCTATCAATGGAAAAAGCAGATTTAAATCTGCACAACCACCTCATCCTTGTTTACTGTGCTTTTTCTGGTCACCTCCCGTAACTGGCCTTCTCCCATCACCATTTGTGTGTAGCTGGAGATGTTATTTAAGGTGGTGGTATGGGCCACTTGGGGGAGTTACTTAGTTTCCCTGGGTCTCTCCCTTGTATATAGGAGGTATGCATGTTATTAAAGTTCCGTGTTTTTCAATTTTTTTATTTAAATTCAATTTAGTTAACAACTAACATATTATTAGTTTTAGGGGTAGAATTTAGTGATTCATCAGTTGCGTATAACAACTCATTACATCACATGCCCCCCTTAATGCCCATCACCCGGTTACTCCAGCCCCGCCACCTCTTCCCTGTCCAATGACCTTCATTTTGTTTCGTAGAGTTAAGAGTCTCTTATGGTTTGTCTCCCTCTCTGTTTTTATCTTATTTTATTTTTCCTTCCCTTCCCCAATGTTCATCTGTTTTGTTTCTTAAATTTCCCATATAAGGGAAATCATATGGTATTTGTCTTTCTCAGGCTGATTTATTTTGCTTAGCATAATGCCTCTAGTTCCATCCATGTTGTTACAAATGGCAAGATCTCATTTTTTCGGATGGCTGAGTAATAGTCCATTGTGTATATATACCACATCTTTATCTATTCATCTGTTGGTGGACATCTGGGCTCTTTCCATATTTTGGCTATTGTGGACATTGGTACTGTAAACACTGGGGTTTGTTTTTCTCCTGGTAACCTGTCTTGCATTCAGGGGGCATCTCAGTCAAAAATCTAGAAGGGTAGAGGAAAAATTATGCTTCCTCCCCCACATTCTCCCCAAGTATCTCTACACTCTGGTCAGCATCTCTCCTTCTCCTCTCCTGTCTCTTATTATCTCTGATCTCTCTCCCTCTCCTCTTCCCACGTCTTCCCCATCTCACATTCTCTTCCACAAGGTGTTATTATGTGGCCCAACAATCTGAGAAACCTCCAGGTCAGGGGATACCCTCCCCAGCATCTTGGGGAGGCCACCTGGTTAAAGTCTCAGTTCACTATGTTCCTTAGACAAACACAAACGGATTTGGGGGATCTGTGAATACCATCCCCCTATATGATACATACATTTTTCCAGGGAAAGGCCTGTTATATTTCTCAATTTACCAAAGGAGACAGTCTTTGATGAATTAATGAATAACTTGGGATAAGGGCCCTTATCCCCAACCAAGCCTCAGTTTCCTCTTCCATAAATTAGTGGTAATGACTTTCAAAGTCTACTTTTTAGAACCCCATGCTCCTGGGTATCTGTTCAGATGAGAAGATGGTTCTGGGTCCAGGAGTCCAGATCCCCACTTCTACTTCTACCTCAGGGCTCTGTGTCCATCTGAAGTACACACAGGGGACTGCCAAGACAGGTTTCAGTGGCACAAATGATTCTAAAACTTTACAAAAATGCTCAAGTATTTAGTACTGATGTCTGCAATTTACTTTGAAATGCATCATAAATGGGAGACATGATAATGTAAGCACAGTAAGGTGCTAATGGTAGATTCTAGGTGGTGGGTTTACTCCTGGTGGTTCATTGATTTCTCTTCTCTCCTGGGACTCCTGACTCAGAGAGAAATAACAAAAAGGACATGCCTGGCTCCGGCACACTGAGGGATCAAGTGTGGGCTGGAATGCAAACCAACATGGTAACTGAAGTGGTCACCAAAAAAACCCAGGCTTTCCATCACCAAGACCTTTTAGGGTCAAGAGACAATGTCCAATGAGATACCCAGCCCATATCTGAACCAGGACAGACAGCTCTGTGGGTCTGTAGGATACCTTCATTGATCTTATTCTGTCTCCTGTGCTCCACTTGGACAAGAATGCTGCTTTTCATGTGTGATTCCACAATCCCTGGCTACCATGCCTCCTCCACTGGTGACAACCACGTAATCATGAATAATGAGCAGTGCCCCTAGTGGGTAACAGCCATGCTAAACTCTCTAGAGACCTTCAACTATTTCATTTGCTGAATAGTCAATCAGCCAGATATTATTGTTCTATCAAATTCACACCATTTACTCACTGTGTGATATAGGCAATTTAGTTAGTCCCTCCGAACCTCAGTTTCCCCACCTGTAAAATGGGAATAATAAAAGATATCTGCCTCCTGGGTTGTTGAGGGATTTTTCCATGCATGCAAAGGGCTTGGCCCAAAGCATGGCTCATGGAGGTGGAGGCTGACTTTTCAGAGAGGTTAGGTGATTTGTTCAGGGACACACAGCCAGCATTAGGGCCCAGGTTTTCCTGCTCCTAAAACAAGTGCTCTCAATTAGTATGCAATGCTTAAAAGTCAGAGCTCTCTGCAGCTGAAAGCACCAGGGGAAAATCTTTGCCTTCCCTTAATTAGATTAAAAGATCCATCATGAGCATGTAAACCAGCGAGCCATAATCCACGGACGCTGTTGCATTTTAAACAGAAAGTCAGAGCAAGCGGTTCAGATGGGACTGAGCAGCTGGTGGCTGCTGACAGCACACACCGTGTTGTTAACCAGCAAATCATTCCTCCCTTTGAGAGTGAGGGCCGATGGGTGTTGGCAGCAGGGTGGTCAGGAGTGGGCTGGAGGCTTAGTAAGGCCACCTCCAAGCTGGTGAGCCACCTTGTGCAGTAGGTGCAAACCACATCTCTTAATGTTCACTCTGATTTTGAAAGCAGGGGGAGAACAGGTGAATCTCTCAGCTCCATGCTTCCTAAATCTGGCTGGGTATCACGACACTTGGAGACTTGACAAAAGTGGACGTTGTTTGGCCCCACCATCAGATGTGGTGATTCAGATGCTTCAGCACGGGACTTGAAGATCTGTATTTCAAGAGCATCATCCTGAAACATTTCTGAGGCAGCTGAAAACCACCACATAGTGTCCTTGAATTCTCATAATGATTCTAAGGATTTGGAATGTTAAAATCTATTTTGTTGATGAGATACTGAGACTGGGAGAGATTGAGGACATTTGCTCCAGGCCATACACCTAGTATATCAGGATTCATTCTACCCTGAGAAGGAGAAAATTCAAAATTTAAAGATAGCTTAAACATGATGAGAGCATCTTTCTCATTCACAGAATCAAAAACTGCAGTGAAGGAGTTCAGGTGCCCAGATTCCTTCTGGCATGTTACTCAGTCACCTCAACACCAGGCTTCCTCCTCGTGGTTCAAAATGGTTGCTCCAGCTCCGGTTATCAAGCCCACCTTCTAGCTTCCAGGAAGAAGGAAAAAGAAGGTTCTTTCTACTCTAGACACCGTGGAGCTTCAGTTGCTTATGACATATGGATGGGGGAGAAAGGATACAGGATGAGGTTGAGGAATAGACAGAAAAACAGTTTGGCTTGTTTTGTTCTGTAAGCCTTCTGTAAATAGTCATTTTTTCAGACAAATATTTATTTTGGGATTTAGCCATTTAATTTATAAAATAGCATTTGTAGATTTCTATGCCTTTTTGAAAAGAAATGTGTGTTCATTATAGAAAAACTTTAAAATATCATCGGGCACTAAGAATGAAAGAAAACCCCACTCATCATCCATATACCATAATAGCCACCCTGTTTTGATCTTTATCCTTTTCATTATTTCTGTATTATACATTAAAACATTTTTTGATTGCAAAAATTAAATCATAGAGTGTCTACTGTTTTTAACTTTTTAGTTTTTAAAACATTTTATTTATTTATTTGAGAGAGAAAGAGACAGCACAAGCAGGGAGCAGAAGGAAAAGCAAGTTCCCTGCTCAGCAGGGAGCCCAACATGATGCGGGCCCGATCCCAGAACTCTAGGATCACAGTCCAAACTGAAGGCAGCTGCTTAACCAACTAAGCCACCCAGGCACCCCGTGTCCACGGTTTTATAGCCTGATTTAAAAAATTAAATGTGACTTGAATTTAAATAAGAAAATTAAATGTGGATATGATTTTAAAAAAGAAAAAAAAAAGGTGTTTCTTAGAAGTTCAAGGCAACAGAGGCTCTTACCATACCATACTCACATGGCCATGTCCGGCTACAAGGGAGATTGGGAAAATATGGTCCTTACTCCCCATTGCAAAATCGAGAGTAGGAATGTCAAGTACCAACTGGCTTGTGTTCTGTATTTCTCATCGTAATCTTTTTTTTAAATTTATTTATGATAGTCACAGAGAGAGAGAGAGAGAGAGAGAGAGAGGCAGAGACACAGGCAGAGGGAGAAGCAGGCTCCATGCACCGGGAGCCCAATGTGGGACTCGATCCCGGGTCTCCAGGATCGCACCCTGGGCCAAAGGCAGGCGCCAAACCGCTGCGCCACCCAGGGATCCCCTTCTCATCGTAATCTTACTAACACTCAACGAGACAGGTGCTATCATCTCTGCTCTGGCGATGAAGACACTGACACTCAGAAGAGTTAGTAGCTTGCTCCAAGCAGATGGCTCCCCCATGGCAGAGAGTTAGGTTTAAACTGGATGGGCTTACTCTGAAATCTCGGACTTCCCCTTCTGGTCCTGACCCTGCAACACCAGCAGAAGGCAGCAGAGGGAACCCCCCGTTAAACAAGACTTCCCCACGGGAAAGATGCCTTCTTCCAACTGAGCATCTGGGGCAGGACATCACAGCTTCCCTATCACCCGGGCTCAGGAAGTCACGGAGGCAGGCTGGTCTGTAATGTGAGCCAACCGCTGGCAATAACCAGGGGAACGCCAAGGCGCCACGTGTGTCCCCTAGCCCGCTGGGACACATAGGCTTGGCTGCTATGGATGAGACACCCTCTGGCTTCCCCCTCAGCCCCTGGGAGGGCTATTGCTCATCGGGTATGGTCTCCACAACCTGAAAATAAGGAGCCACATTGAGAGGCAAAGGAGCATTTATTTTAATTCAGGGAGCACAGATTCAGGTAGATCCCCGGATAGTGCTCCCACCTTTCCCACCTGGTACTAACAGGCTGAGCTGCTTTGGGTCACACATTGATGGACTCCTCTGGCTTAACTGGTGTTAAACAAGCAAAAAAGGATTCCTGGTGTGTGTTAGCTAACTGTTTTGTCTTCAGAAAGTCCGCAACCAACAGTGTTATGATCAGGATATTCACGGTCCTGAAGACTTTTTAAAAAAAATTTAGTCATTTATTTGAGACAGAGAGGACTTGAGCAGGGGGAGGGGCAGAGGGACAAGCAGACTCCCCTGTGACCGCAGACCACCCCCCTAGGTGGGGCTGATCCCAGGACCCTGAGGCCATGACTTGAACCAAAATCAAGAGACAGATGCTTAACCCACTGAGCCACCCAGGCGCAGTTGACTTTGTCCTGTCCCCTTTTTTTAAAAAAAGATATTATTCATTCATTCATGAGAGACAGAGGCAGAGACACAGGCAGAGGGAGAAGCAGGCTCCATGCAGGGAGCCCGACGCAGGACCCGATCCCAGGACCCCAGGATCACACCCCGGGCTGAAGGCAGGCACTAAACCGCTGAGCCACCCAGGGATCCCCAACCTTGTCCTGTCCTGTTGACTTTTACAAACGATTGTCACTTTGCCCAGTCCAGAGGTTCTGGCGCAGTTCAGACAAGGCAGGTAAGGCAGTTTCTCTAGGGTGGCTTCCCTGACTCCATTTCAGAATGGCTCCAGTCACGTCAATTTTTCATGATCTGAAGCGGCCGTCCCTGTATTGTCTGTAACAATGCTTCTCTATGGATGTCAAGACCTTCTGCTCCCTTGAAAGGGACATTCCTTCCCGCAGACAGCCCTGTGTGCTCGCTTATGAGACATTTTCAGCTTTTCTCTTTCACCTCTCCCCCTCCTCCTTTTTCCCTCCATACAGTGGCCTGGATGACGCATATTCCCAGGGCATTTGACTCGTCACCTGCTTCCACAAAAGGCAAAGAGCAAGACAGAGAAGGCAGACATCATTGTCTAGCACGGGGTTGTGCAAACTTGATCTGTAAAGGATCAGACCGAAAATACTGAGGTTCTCTAGGCCACAAGGTTTCTGTTAGGATTACTTGACTCTGCCATTGTGACAGGAAACAGCCATAGACAATATATCAATGAATGGCTGTGTTCTGATAAAACTTTATTTACAAAATCAGGTGAGGGGCTGATTTAACCCATGGGCCATAGTTTGCTGACCTCTGACCTAGTGGGTACGGGCACAGATTGACATCCATCAACACTTCCTGCAAATCCTGTCTTCTGGGGTGGATGGGAATTATTTGACTAGTCTCCTTGGGCCTCAATTCTCTCATCTCTCAAATGGGAATAAATAGACCTGCCTCCTGAAATCATGGTAATAAATTTTCTGTTCCACACACAGGCCAAGCTTGCTCTGGCCTCAGGGCTTTTGCACTTGCCTTGTTAGCTTTTCTACCCCTAAGTGCCCTTCCTTCTAGCAATTGCATGCTGGTTCCATTTCATCATTCAGTCTCTTAACTCACCTCAGAGTCTTCCCTGGCACCCCTGTACAAAGCAGTGAATCTCCCAGCCTGGCAGGTAGCAGATGCAGAAGCTGACTTGTTTAAAGTATGTTGATTCTTATTTGGATGAGAAAAGGATTGGATTTTTGCAGCCCAGGAATTTCTGTGCACTGGGAATGCTGCATTTTCCCCTTTTCCAGAATCTTCAGAGAAGGTCACATGTGAGATCAAAAACTCAAGGCAAGGGCAGCCCATGTGGCTCAGTGGTTTAGTGCTGCCTTGAGCCCAGGGTGTGATCTTGGAGACCTGGGATCAAGTCCCACGTCAGGCTCCCTGCATGGAGCCTGCTTCTCCCTCTGCCTGTGTCTCTGCCTCTTTCTCTCATGTCTCTCATGAATAAATAAGTAAAATCTTAAAAAAAAAACACTCAAGGCAAGAATAATCAATACCCCATTTTCCAGCCTGTACTTTTCAACCCTGGGCACTCCCTCCTTCAATTGGAATCACTGTCTGGACTAGCAGATTAAAGAAAATGAAGAAGTGACCTTTGAGGCCCTTCATCCAAAGCAGGAGTGTAGAGTTTGACTACCTGGTGACCCATCTCCACCCTGCTGATGGGCCTTCATGAGTCACTCAGAATTTTCCACCTAGATTTATGAAATTCATTTTCCCTGAGACAGACTAAGCAGTTTATAGAGAACCAATATCATTAAGTTAATGATTCCCCATAAATTATTACCCACACAGCCCAGTTAATCCCACAGATGGGGCATTAATGGTGGAGGGTCAGTGGCTGGCTTTTCAGAGTTCCCTGGCATGACCTTGGCTCAGGCAGATGGCACACTGTAAGAAAGGCTTGTGTCCTCCAAATCCTGGGTTGAATCCCCACTCTGTAATAATCTTCCATCAGCAGCTTCAGGGCTCCCACTGCGGCCTGGGTGCGATGCCCCAAATGAGCATCATAGAATAGGAATGATTTTCTGTCTCGTTTCATCCTTGGCCATGACTTTTCATTTCCCACTGATGTCTGATTTATTTATCTGTTTATGAAGCGACCCGTTTGGCTTGAAGCGACAGCAATAGGCATTTGATCAAATAGAGCTGCAAATCTCATCTTCCACCATCCTGAATTTTTATTCCATCATTACTTAACAAAATAGAATTAAGTTGGGGAGAAAGTGAGCTCCTGCATTATGCATTGGCCTCATTTCATTGGTCTTTATGCTCTCTCTTGGGGTTGCAGTGTTTTCATGTTACCCAGCAATCCCAGAGGGAAGCAATTCCATCTCCAATGACCTAAGACTATCGTTCTTCACTCCGATTTGCCTGGGTTCAGAAAGTTGGCAGAGCTGTCTAAGGAACGTGGATTTCACAAGCATCTGATGTCTTTAGCCAAGGTGGTTCCCATGGGGCAGCACTCTAGAACGGTTTTCTGTAGACTAACAGAGCTCCCCAAATTCTAACCTTTCTTAGAATCAAGCCTGTGTTTTCAATTCATCCCATATACCCGGCTACTCCTCACCTAAGCAAGTGTGGAATCACATAGAACAGACAATATTAGTATCATCATCATTATTAAAATTATCAGAAACTGATTACTGAGGTCCTGGCCAGGTGCCAGACATGGTTTTTATGTTCTATAGATGAGGAAACTGAACAAGAGACAGACCTAGGATTCACTTCTCATCTACCTCCCACCAGAACCAGGTTCTTAATAACCATAGGATCTGACTTCATGAAGAGCAATGGAGGGAAACTAATTAGTATCTACTGGGCACCCCCCACCCCGGACTAGGCACCTTTCTGCGTTATCTCATTTAATTCTTAAAGTCCCCCATGACATATGCATTAATCCATCTCACAGGCAGGAAAACTGGAGCTTAAAAATCTGAAGATAATCTGATTCTAAATCCAGGATAGCAGTGGTATCCAGCCAAATCAGGGGTCTTTGAAGGAAAGGTATCATGCTGTAATTTCTACTGCAGAGGGCTAAGTCCTGAGATGACCTTCAGGGCTCTCACAAATCTTACCATGTGCATGTGTGCACGAGAGTATTTTGTAAGGAAAGCTCCATAGCTCTGATCAGACACTTGACAGAGTTCAAACCCAAAATAGGTTAAGAGGTAACTGGGCTAGAAGATGGGAAGCTACACAGAATACAACTTTATTTTTATTTATTTAAAGATTATTTATTTATTTATTTATTTATTTATTTATTTGAGAGAGCATGAGCAGGAGGGGCAGA